ATTTTTTTATACGATATATATAAGCCCTTTGAAGTTACTTAATTTTAAATTTGAATAATATAGCAAAGAAAAAACTCACATGCAACGTTGGATGTATACTTGAAATAAGTGGTGTCTCCACTATGCTTTGAAGGTCAGTCTCTTTACTCTCTTCTTCCGTTTGTAGCATTGAGAGCTTCTTAGGTGTCTAGCATAAACAAAAATAACTAGATTATTTGGGAAATATAAATGCTGTGAAAACAAATTAAAATAAGACAATATTTAACAACAACATTTAAATAACAATATTTTAAACGAAGGAATATATTTTGCAGGGGTTTGTGAATACTTAAAATGGAGTAGGTGACTAGTGTAGACAAACTTTATATATAAGATAATTTGATTAGGTGTAATGTTTAAGACACGCAAAAAGTGTTTTATATAAATTATTTTCTTAATGAAATTTGAGCATTTTTCTTTATTTTGAGTAATACAAAAACTAATTTAAGAACTAATTAATGCATTTTCTTTTTTTGCTATTTTAAAAGTCTCGTCTTATGAAGCATTGAGCTCTTACTACCCTGAGCTAGGGTGGCTTCGGATCTACAGCGACGGATCCCTCCTACCAGACAGTCCTAATGCTGGTGCAGGAGTTTTCTCTGAGACTTTTTCGTTTTATGCCCCTGTGAGACAGGATCGGTTTTTGATGGAGAGATAGCTGCAATCCGAATAGCTCTAGTCCAGTTACAGTGTCATATCGATCTTTTTGAAAAAGCTGTTGTCCTATGCGACTCAAGAGCTGCTTTACTTGTCCTTAACTCGAGACGTTTTGGATTGCCGCCTCCAACTTGAATACCTAGCATCCCTTAGGAAAACACTTGTTCTCCAGTGGGTCCCTGCCCATTGCGAGGTCACAGGTAATGAAAATGCAGACTACTTAGCAAAAAAGGGGGTCTTAATTATTCAGACTTCTGCGCTCATTATGCCCTTCTGTTCCATCAAATAGCTTATTAAGAGGACCTTTAAGATCTGTGCTCGTGAAGAACTTATCGACCGTACTTCTACAAAGTCTTGGACGGCCACCATCCTTTTTTTGCGAAATGGCCCAAGACGAAGAGCGGTGGCTGAATTCCGCTTGGCCACCGGTCATGACTGTCTGCGGAAACATCTGTCTAGATTTGGTATCGCTCCTTCCCCGGTATGCAATCTTTGCAGTTCTGGTGAAGACATGGACTCAAAGCACCTTCTCCGCTGCTCTGCACTTTGCAGGAATTCTATCACTGAACACTATTGGGAAGCTAGAGACATGTTGTGATTAATAAACTCTGTTGCAGCATCTTTGTTTCTGATCTTATTTTTTTAGAAGTTTATGTATGCTGTTACTGTCTATAATCTGCCATTGGAAATAAAAAAATAAAAAAAGCATTTTCTTTTGTTAAAAAATTAGTTCTTTTCTTATCTGAAAATAAGAAAACCACTAATGATTTTGCTTATAAAATGTAAAATCAAACTTTCTAAATAAGTTACTTGTAAATTAATGATAATAGAGAAATGAATATTTGTTTCAAACGAAATACTACAAAACAAAATGATGCATCTGATTTTTTTTCTTAAAGAAATATTATATAAATTAAGGTTTTTCACATTTAAATAACGTATTTTAAATAACAATATTGAATATCAATTATGGAATAGGTCATGCAATTTTAACGTAGTTCCTGTAAGTGAATTACATTAAGACCTACTACGTAAAACACTGCCTTAAAAGATTTAAAATTCCATAGATGATCACCATTTAAAAAAAACTTAAAATACATGAAAAGTGTATTTTCTAAATATTCCATTGTACAAAACGGAATTAAATTTAATAAGTGAAAGCCTGGAATTTTTAATAAGCGAATTCAATAGTGAAGAATTATTATTATAATCTGGTACCACAAGGAACACATTTTATATTTTCAAAGGAATATTCTTGCATAATTATAATTGGGCTTATATTGCTCTTCACTCGAAGTGTCTTACGAATTTTCATCCAGAAATATTTTAATTAAATTCAATTTTGTTCAGTAAATGTTGTATTGAGTCTTTCCTAAGTCTACAATTGCTTTTAATAAGTAGTTTAGTCTTTGTTAAATTTTTTAATTAAAATTTAATAGAATTCAATAGATTCGTTTAATTTTTCACAGATAAGTTTAACCAAATACACCAAGTTTATTGAAAGCAAGTGTTCCATAACCAAGAATAATTTTGTGGAATAAAATACTATATTTTACTATTTAAAAGTTAAAAAAAAGGTTTCTTTTTGTAATTAGCAGCACTTGATGTGCTTAAATGTACATCTTACCCTTCCAATAAATTATTTACAACAAAAAGACTGAAAGTCACATTTTGGCACTTAATTTAAACAACGATCGACTTTTGTTCCCTTAAAGAAAAGGGGCAATTTACAAGAAGTGTGAAGGCTTTTTAATTATTCCATCTTTTATCAAGGACAACATAATTGATTTCTTTGTTCAGGAAGAAAAAAAGTATTCTTTTGACGGAGTTGATCATCTTCGAGAGGGAATAAATTGATCAAGAAGCAAATTGCTTCGAATTCTGAAAGGTACTTATTCAGCCATGAGTTATGTAGGAACGATAATTTACGAGAGCAATAATTTGAACAGGAGAATGAAATTTTGTTTTCATTTTATTATTTTGCAAACTTCGGATTTTTTTTTATAAAGTTGTAATTCAAATTTAAAAGTAGGATGTAACAATAGATTTAAATTGCTCTTTTTTTAAAAAAAAGTAGCAGTCACATGTTTCAAATTTTAACAGAGACAGAAAAAAAAAACTTTGTGCATGTCTTATTTTTGTAACTCGTTCATTATTCTCTTGAGTAATTGCAATTATTTAAATAGATTTTAAGTTTTCTTTAAAAGTTTCAGACTAATTGTAATAATTTATTTGTCTTTGTGGATATGAGTATTAAAACACTGAGAAAATAATTATGGGAATGTACGAGAAATAGCTATAGTTAATAATTAATAATTGTTATAGCTAATAATTGTGTTACAGTTAATCGAGTCTTTTTCTTTACTTTTATTCCATATATACCCTACTTTTTCTGTGAAATTTATAGATTTTGCTTACTTATTAAAATGACTTTCTTAAACTTTATCAGAAACCAGTAAGGGATAATATATCATTAATTTATTTCTACGTCCTATCCACGTTATGTGATTGTACTCCTAAGTTAGTAATTGTCTTTTCCGCTTGAGGTGAAAACATAATTACATAAAAGGCAATTTAAAAATTCATTTTTAGTCTTTTTGCATGCTTTCATTTATTTATTTATTTAATTAATTTTGTTAATAGCAATATAAATCATTTATTTGTCATGAATTTGCTTTTGAAATATAATTTTAGAAATAATATCTCTTGTTGAAGAAGTAACTGATTCTTGGTTGACATTTAAGTTCTATTATTTATTGCAAAGTTTTACAATTATGGTTTATATTTAAGTATGAAGAAAATTTATGTGATAAATAAATATAAAGAAAATTGCTAAAACGAGAATTTTTCGATCAGTAAGTATCAAATGATTTCTCCCATTTTTCGCTTCACAAATGATTTTTAGAAAGGTTATCAATATTTTAACCTGATACTTTACATCAAAACTGATGGATTACTTTAGAAGATAGATTAGCAATCAAGTCTGTGACAAAGTGAATAGGGTAATACTAGAAAGTAAATTTGGATCTAAAAAAATAGCGATCTGTATTAGAAACACGTGTCTATGAAAACATGTCAAAACGTACATTTTTTTATACGCTTCATTATATTATTGCAAAAAAGGAGCAAGCATTATTAATATGCCGTTATACTAGTTAAAGAGCAAGCAACACTATGAACAAATAATTTACAAAGACTGTTTTTCATTTATAATTATTAGTTTTCTCTTTTTTTTAATTTTTAAAGTATTTGGCATCCACGGTGACAGAACTCTGAATCGCAAGAATTTTATTTACATAATTTAAAGTTATTTTTCAGAATTGAAATATATAGTAGATGATAATTGCGTCATGAGGAGTTGTTAAAAGTATTTATTATATTTTATAATGAAGATTTAATACTTTAACTATGTAAATGCGTTGAAATAATGGTGTTTGAAAATAATTTTAAACACGTGATACATAAAAAAATTAAAACAGTTTACCGAAACATTTGAACCATATATTCCAATTTTTCTGAAACATGATACGGAACGAAAAACCTCATACACCGTAATTTTTACAGAAATATGCTGAATTAAAAATATTACTGTAAAAATTGAGGTATATTATTTTACGGTAAAAATGTTTTACTAATGATGCTCCCAAAGTGCCGGTACTTTGATCTGGAATTTTATACAGTGTAGGGATTTTATGCTGCTGACAGGTAGAATAAAATCCCACAAAATATTGCGAGTGCAAAAATATTTCATGTACCCTTTTGAATTATAATATTAGTGTGTTAAGAAACGCAGTTACTCAGTATGTTATGTTAATCCGAAACTGCAGCTGAAAAAACATGTGCATCAAATTGGGGTCGTTTTGTTTCAGACTAATATAAAAATTAATAATATATATTGCCTTTTACTTTTATTTATAATCTTGTAGATCCCTTAACTGAAATTTCGATTTGTTTTTGCATATTATATTGACTGCTTTGGTGGTGATGCTCTAAGTACAGAAATGTGCACCGATGATACAAAATCTCTATTAAGAATACTCTCTGTTAATGCTATTAGTACTTATCAATTATATAACAATTAATTCCCTTAAACAGAAGATTTACATATTTAAACATATTTTTTAAAGTTAGAAAAAAATTGCGTGAATTTAGTACCTTTCCGTAAAAAAACGAAATAATTTATTTAGTGTCAAAATTAAGTGTCTCAAAACCATGTTCACATTGTCGGGATGAAAAAGCTTCACACTTTTTTTTTTTATTCAAAACCTTGTTATGAACATTTTTGATATTACTTATTTCACAGATTTTTCTTTTTTGTCTTTCTTTCCTTTCTGTTTTCTTTAATTTTCAAGTTTCTGCAAGGATTTATAAAAGCAAAAAAGAAAATAAAATGCAAAAAAGCTAATATTGTGATATTATGATAAAGTCAAGCATTTAAATTAATTAAATAAATATATTTCTTATAAGATTATAATAGGAAATATATTTAAA